AGGGAAAGATCAGATGACAGAAGAGGTTTCCTGGCACAAGATTATAGCAGTTTCTGGTTTTCTGTTTGCCTCTGAGGAACTGTTGCAAGGGAGCTGCACGCACTGTTCATGAAGATAAGACGATAAGGGAATGAAGTTTGGCTACTTACCTATTTCAAAAGTTAAGTGAACTAAGGAACAGCATAATTCTGAGAAAATACATGGTCGAGCAATTTGTCTAGCATTGTGTTATTAATACCCTTAACACTGCAGTCTTTGGACCTCATGGATTTTAGTCTGCTTTAATACTCTAGTAATTGAGTTGCTTTTCCCCACCCTTGGATTTGAGGTGTAAGATAATAAATCCCCTTCCTTCAGTGCACGTCTTGGTAAGCACATACAGAAGTGGGGTGGAGTACTAGACACTGCCATGGTATGTTACACTCAGCCACCATCTGTTATGAAAATATTCCACTAATATTTGCTTTACAGTTTCAGCACTTACTTTGTCTGTGCCTAAGCAGTCTTACTCCAGTTTTATCTCTGAAATTGAAAGTCTTAACTGTTACAGCCAATGCCATCAATTTATAAAGTGATGATTTAAAAAAAATCTAATGTGGTCGAACTTGCTCATTTAAATAATTAAGTAAAGGATGCTATAAAGTTTTTGAGGGAGAACGACTTCTGTTGTCTGTGTTTCAGAATTTAGGTGAATACTTCTTTTTAAGGTAACTTTTGCTGCTAGATAACATTCTTCTGGAAAAACTGATTACCACACTATTTGGGGTATTTTATGGTTTGGAACTTTCAGTACAGCTTTTCACCCACTTTCTTTTTTTGAAAAAAATACTGATTTTATTTTAGCTACTACTACTACTTTGTAGTTCTGAGAATGAATATTGTTTTACTGTTGTCTTGTTGTCATTCAACAAATACATCATACGTGCACCTCTGCATGTTTATTTCAGTGCAATGCGTGTATTGTTGTCCAAGTTACCACGACCATGGATTGTTGACGAGAAAAAAGATGATGGTTACACTGCCTTGCATCTGGCAGCTCTCAATAATCATGTGGAAGTGGCTGAACTTCTGGTGCATCAGGTAGGACTCTTTTATCAGGAGGATTTAAATGTCACGCTTCAGTTAACAATCTGATTTGAGAATAGTTTGCTGCTTTATGCCTGCAATTGCAATGCAGAAGCGATGGAGCAGGGAAGGACACGTGGTGAGCTCTAAAGGTCGGGCTTGCCTTTGAGATCATTACAGTGGCCTAATGGTGCAGAGGGACTGAAAAATTCGATACAGAGTTTGATTCAACATATCAACATCTGTACAGGGAATAATTAAAGTATTTAATCACTGCTGCTCTCAAATCTCCAAACTAGGAATCATATTCAGGGTCATATTCAGTGCCCTAATAGACTGCCTTGCCCGTAGTTGAATTGCTGGGATGATGCAGCTCTAATGCTTTGAATATCTTTCAGGGCAATGCTAACCTGGATATCCAGAATGTTAACCAGCAAACTGCTTTGCACCTTGCCGTTGAACGACAGCATACACAAATTGTTAGGGTAAGTGTCTTATTTGCAATAAGCCATATGGTTAATGGTACTTGATTTAAGCTGATTGTAGCTGTTAAGACACGGGTGCTTCATGAACATTTAAAAAAATTACTTAACAGCATTTAGCTGTTTGAATGTTTGTATGATTAATTTTGATCAATTCAGAAACCTGCTGACTTGCTCAGGTCAGTCAGCAATACGAAGCACATTTCAGGAATGCTAAATTTTTATACATGTACATTATGGTTTCCTCTGTGCGGTTGCCAATTCCAGTGTCTTCTTGTTGAGTAAAGGCGAATGTGTTCCTCTGTTACTTGTCTGAGTCTTGTGGTCCTGCAATGGGACCTTCAAATAGCATTTCTGATGCTTCTTGCTGTATGAGTAATTATTCTTGCTCATAGCTTTTGCAAATTGTAGCTAAGCGAAACATCTTTTTGCAAGTTTAACTACTTTTCAGTCTTCTGAGCATGTATCTTTCCCTGTTCTTTTCCCTCTTCCCTGTTCTTAACTTGGGAAGGCTATAAGCAGTAACAAAAGTGCCTTACCGGTGAAAGTAATGCTATTTCTGTTTTTTGCTCGCACGGTTGCAAAAGTTAATACTTCAGTTTTATTAAACTTTGTTACTGCCATGGAAAACGGGAGTCTGTCACAGCTGGCCCATTCTGGCCTGTGTGCACTGTCCGTAGGGGCCCTATGTGACTTCGTGATTGGATTGGATTCTTGTGGGCTGTTGAGGCTCAGAGAGAGCGCTTACAGCTGTAGGAGATGTTCCCTGTGAGTGATTACATCAACCTGGCCTCGGCCTTCTGTGTAAATTTTTCTTTTCTTTGTAGAGTGAGAGTCATGTTAGATTAAGAACTGTCTTTTATTCAGGCCTACGGAGAATTGTCCTCCCTATGCACACCTGTATCTGTGGTTCTGTTTAGTGTTATTTTGCCGTCAGGTTTCCCCATCCCCAAGGGTTGATGGATGTGATCCCATTACAGTGAAACATGTGATATGGCCCTGTATCTGGAACTGCTTGCTACCAAAAGAATGGTTTCCTAGAGTCAGTGTCACTTGCATCCTGCAAGCAGTTTGGCAGCTATATTTGGTGACCTCTTGGTGCCCTTCTGGAACTGACACAGTACCTGAGAATACAATACTAATGTGACAGATGAGCAGGAAGGTAGGCATGTAGAAGAACTAGTATGTGTATTGGACTAGCGTGCTTATATCTGAGAATGTTTAAGTGAATGACCCTGTAGATTATCCGTACTTCAGAGTTGGATTAACTTTGAGAAGTCCTAAAATAACTCATGCAGCCATGCAGAGAACATGTTGGCTCTGTATTTCAGAATTAATTCCTGTTGGGTACCTTCCAGGGCTGGGTTGTACCCTCAGGCATCTGTGGAATAGTGGTCAAAGGTAGCAAGGTTCTTTTAAAAGCCCTGCTGCCATGACAAAGAGTGGTTTGCTTTTTTTTTTTTTTTAAGGTTTTTTTAAGGTTTTGGGGGTTTTTTTAACTTCTGCAAAGGCTTTGAATGTTCATGGTAGCCCAGGATTCTAGGTTGCTCTGAAAAGAGTTCTCTTACAGATTTTCTTCCAGGAGAAACTCTTAAGTAGTAAATAGCTAGTGACAGGCACAAGGTATGAATATGAGAAAGATAAATTGGGCCAGAATAAGTAATTTTAGAGAGTGTTAGAAGTTGGAGGGAGACTGTTGCAACTATTATCTGGTTTTCTTGGTTTCACCTGTGGAAGAAAAGGTTGGAGAAAATGGTGAGCTGCAGTCAATTACAGGCAGGTATTTCCTTGAAAATTAAGATCTGAATTCCTTTTGAGCTTTTTTCCTTTTAACCCTGTCTAGAGTCTGAGATTCTTTGGTTCAGACAGGCTGAGATTCCTGTAAGCATGCAGGTTCTGAAGAGGGAGATCCCACTTCATGTATTCCTGTGTCTAGGCTATATGTCTTTTGTCTCTGCTCCTAATCCGAATTTTGCAGAGTAGCAAAAGCTCAAAACTAAAGTTAAAACCTCAGCTGCTATCTACAGGTTTCTGAATAGCAACAATGACAGGGTTTAATTTTTAGAGGCAATTGTTATTTGTCAGCATGTGTTGGTTTGTTTTGTTTAACAGCATATTTAAGAAAATTCAGGTGCATCAAATTATGGGAGGGCTGTATGCAAAGGCAATATGAATAGGAGGGCCTGTGCAGCCTTCTGCTTGCTTCCATGTCATGTGACCTGGAACGCGTGTCTAAAATTAGCTTTAAAGACAAGTCTTGCAGTTCATTACTTTCCAAAGTGTTTTGAGATAGCGTTTAGTAGTGTCTGGGTTTTATGTATTCTGCTGAATAAGGATAAACCTAAGTACATGCTTAACTACTTCGCTAATGGAAGGATACTGTAAATTAAGTTGTAAAGTTCAACATGGTGTGAAAGTGGTGATTTTTGAGGTCATTGAAACCTAATAGTAAAGAATATATACATATCTATAGTATTGTGCACTTGTTCTGTTTCTGATATATTGTCTACATTGTTTGTAGGCTATCTTGTAAGAATTAAAGGGTTTGGACAGTAGAAAGAATCCTCTGAAATAGCATCTCTTATAGCGCTCCCTCAGAGCACAGGCAAGCATTAAGCTTCTGCTGAAATAAGCTTGATATTTGAAATTGATAAATGCTTCAGTTGAGGGCTGAGCTCCAAGTATGGAAAATAAATTTAAATAAACTCAACTGTGAATTGTAGCAAGATGAAAGAATAACCCCCTTTGGACTTCCTAGACCATCCTAAACCATAGCTTTACTGACATTAGTTTTAAAATGAATAAATAGATTTCTTTTTTAGTTTTAAATTGGTTTCTCTCTCGTTTCAGCTCTTAGTCCGTGCAGGTGCTAAGCTGGATATTCAGGATAAAGATGGGGATACTCCCCTGCATGAAGCCCTGAGACACCACACCCTGTCACAGCTCCGCCAACTCCAAGACATGCAAGATGTGGGCAAGGTAGATACTGCTTGGGAGCCATCAAAGAACACAGTAAATAAAATGCATTTATTTATTCCTTTTTTTTCTGCACACTTGCCTCTTTATTTGTCTAGTTTGTCTAGTTCTGTACTGTTGAACTGGGTTTTGGCAGCATAAGTTTATGTAGATGTTCTCCATTAGACTGCAGTGTACGCAGAAACCATATTGTTATATGCGGCTTTTCACAAGTAGTCATTGTCTTTGTTTAAGAAAAATATGGGTTATTTAGTTCAAAATATTTCTACAATTCTGTCTTCCATAGTGCACATGTATGGCAACCAAAAATTCAAAAGTAGCTTTTTAGGGAAGAGAAATAAACAGTTTTACAGTACAGAATAAGACTGAAATTATGTTTTCTGTGATGCAACATCTTGCATGTCTTTGTAGCTTTCATTGTTTAGCTGCTTCTATAACCTTCTGTAGGTTTATTCTGTTAGAACAAGGCATTCTTAATCTTTGTATGTTTATTGTTATGTATCTTTCTGACAGAGTTCATTTCAGAAATTGTGCTGTAGTAAGGAAATAGTCAAAGAAACTCTAGGTGGTAGTAAAGGTCAAAATGTTTTATTGAGAAAATAAATGCTCACACCCAAAAAGCTGTGTGAACACCATATGCGAAAATGAAGTTTATAGTTTTGCCTGATAGGCAAAGGAGAAGTAAAATTTTGGAGTGATTGGGATTGAGGAAAAAAACCAACAACTTTCTCTTTAATATTTAAAGGTGCATAACAACAGTGGATCAGATTTTCTGAATCACTAGTTACCAATGTCATAATATTTTTTCTAATTTTAATTTGGATGGTAAGTTTTTTGCATTTCATTAAAAAAAAACAACCCACTAATTTTATTGAAAAGCCTTTGTTCAAAACAGCAAATCCATTGTACAATAAATGTTTTTCAGACTGGTTACTTAATCTTGCTGAAATACGCTGGAATAAGATTTGAAAAGCAGTTTAAAATAGGACTGGCGTATGTAAGAAAATGCGTGTGTCCTTTTAAGTGAGAAGAGGAAAGCAATTACAGCTCAGTTGTTTCCATGATCTGAAATGGACTCTGTGAGAGGTGGCCCAAATAGATTTGTAATTTGTTTTGTGTAGAATTGCAAATAGAGGTAATGGATAATAGAGGATAAATAGGATTAATAGTTTAGTCTGGGAAAGAGAGAGGCTTTTTTTTCTGAGAATACGATGACTTAAACTGATGGAGTCTGTATTTTTTTATTAATTTTATTAATTCCTTTAAAGACTGGGAAAACTATGTGATAGCAAATCTGATATGTAAAATATCTTTAGTATTTATATATGTCTTTTTATATTTTATTATATATCCTTAGAGCTCATTTTTGCTTGGCTAAAGTTTTTTTAACTTTGGACTACTGTCCTGAAGATACCAACCTATTGAGTCCTGTAGGGTGCCTCTTTGTAGTATAGTACTTCAACAAATTGATTTTTTTTTTCCCAGTTGAATAAACTAAAAAGTAAGAAAAATTTCACTTGCAGTATTTTAGATGTTTTAACTATTTGATGAAGTCGGCTGGACAGCAACTTCATGAAATTCTACCATTTGTTACTTTTTGCTTTGAGTATGGTTTAAAATATGAAACAAACTTTTTACTGATATTGAGAACTTATTTCATAAGTGGAATTATATGGAATGAGATATTTAGCGTTGATTTTTAGTAGTTCCTTCTGAATGTCAACATTAAGCTGCTGTAATAACTAAAACAATCTTTGTCAGGTTTCTTCAGCTGTTTTTTGATTGACAATCTTGATAGTACATGAAGCCCTATGCATTTTAGGTATCAATCTGAAAAACATTTCTGTGTTCAAGTGCTGTGAGCGATGAGCCTCATTTAAACAACTTTGAAGTTTTCCATGCAGCACATTGCGATGATGGTACAGCTGGGAGGAGGAGAGATTTTCTGAAGTACAGTCCCCACGACCACAAAAAAAAGTTATTTCAGTTGCTTTATTACAGGTGCAGTGTTCCTTGGGCGAGGGTACTTTTTATTTTAAATAAATGTGTTATTCCCCAAACTCACTTAGTGTAATTTATTTTAATACAGGCATTTTTCAGACCCTTAAAATGCTTTTAAGATTAAAAATTATGCCACCCCCTAAATCCTAAACTAAACTAAAGAAACTCCAGTGGAGGTCAGTTAGGTGTTCACAGCTTTAAAGATCACTCAGTAGTTACAGTTACTTAGATGATATTTATACTGTTTGTGTGGATTACACAGTCTTCTCTCTCACAGGTGAATTGGCTGGGTCTGGCCTGTGTTGGTGCATCTCAGGGCTAGCACCCTCCAGAGGAGGCTTGCTGCAGCTGTATTAGGCACTAAGTCATAATGTTTATTTTTGTGCATGGGTTGTTGGGTTTTTTTTTGTTTTTTTTTTTTCTTTCATCCTGTGTGCCTGAAATGTTGCAGACTACCAGAGAAGTGTCATGGGATGTAATATTGTCTTGGTGTTTTTAAAGCATACAGCACACAGTAAGGCATTTCAGGACTCTTAAATAATGTTGATGACTGTTCTAGGTGGAGGAGCAAGTCTTGGTGTAGTGTATATCCACACCAAGCAAAGCAAAATATCCTGTTGGCTGCGTTTGATTTTCCTCTTGGAAACACAATAGCTCAGACCCCGTGAGGTGCAGTGACTTCTCTCAGTGAGAGAACTATTGTCCCAGCACGTAAGAAAGGGCTACAGCAAATTGTTCAGGGTAGGCATGCCTTCAAAAAGTCTACTCTGCCAACCTTGGAGCAAATCAGTTTCACTGGGCTACGTTGGCTGGATTACTGACATGGTCCAAGGTACTCAGGCTGAAGCTAGATAAAATCTCTGCTTCACTTCAGCCAATGCTGTAATTGAGGTGCAGAAAAATGGTCTGAATTTATAAAGAAAAATGTTCTGTGATTGGAACACCACAGAACAATTTCTTTCCATAACTTCCTGTTTTTCCTGGTATGAAGTCTTTCAAGCTGTACTGTTCTTACCTGGTCATAGGAAAGAATGCAGGACCATGAGTATTTGTGGATTCATGAAGTGACATTCAAGAACCTCGTAGCACCTCAGTAATACTTATTGATATAAGAACTCCTAACTAGAAGAAAACGTATAGACTGAGGTTTAAAAAAAATTGGTTCCCTGGGAAACTGGGTGGCTCTACGATAAGAAGGATAATCTTGCAATTGTCAAGGCAGGGTAAAGACTTCTCATACATATTTCGCATGTTGCAGGACGTGGACACAAACCAAGCCTTTTTCTTCACAAGTCACCTCTGAGGGATGGGGGAAATAATTAGAGGAATTTTGAAAGCTGTTTTCTTTGTAGTTCAGACTTCAGGATATGCAACCTCTAGGGCTATGGTGACAGGTGTCTGGTATTTTAAACTTATTCCTGTATTCTGTTGTGTCTAAAATAGCACATCTAGTTCTTTAAATACAAAATGGTTGTTAATCCAGCCAAAATTACTTAATGTTTAGGGGTGATACTTGACACCCAGTTTTTAGAAGACCAGCTGCAGGGATAGTTTGTACAAACTGGAAGTGGCATAGAAAGATGTACATCAGTCAAGTTGGGCACTTAAGCCAATTAATGGGAATGAAGTGCATACAAAATCCTGCCTCTATCCTAGTGTCAAAGCTTTTATAATTCTGGAATTCAGGACTTAAAACTCATTGAATTGGAGCTGTCCCAGCTGTGCCAAAGCTGTTCCTTGGAATATAATCTAGTGTAGTTTGCTGAGGGTTCTTAGTGGTGCCAGCAGTTTCATGCTACATGTAGTCTGCATTATAGTTATGCATTTTATCTGATCAAATTTTAATACAAAAAGATGTTGGAGCAGGCCCAGAATGCTCCAGAGCCGGCAAATCCTCTCCTTGCTGGGCTGTGGTAGCAAGCCTTCTCTATTTTTCTAGCTGGCCCTGTGAATCATGCCTAATAGGTATGCTAATAGAACAGAAATACAGTAATAGCTGTAAAAGGGTGAAGGAGTATTACACTATTAGGACAGGATAACAGGTACGTGAGTTTAAATCCCTCCAGGCTGAGAAGGCAACTGAAACCAAGTCCTTCTTGGGCAGGTGCATTACTCACTAGACTAAAAGTCAGTCTTGCATTTACTTCTCTGCCCAACTATGTTTTCAGTCCAAGCATGGTGGTGTCGGGACTCGGCAATTTTAGTATACTTTGAGTGTATTCTGAATATACCCACTGTGCCTTTGCCCTTTACAGTGCTTGTATAGAAGGACAGGCAATTCACGAGTGAGTATTGGTGTGCGGGAGATTGAGTGCTTCAATAGCTGAACTATTCCTTGCTTGACTTTTAGTTCCTTCAAGGGAAGTTTAGTGTAGTTGACTCAAAATTAAGCAACCATACAATTGTTTTGATTTTAGTTCTAGAGACGCTTCCTTGGGCTTATAGATCTGTATGTGTGTGTGTATATGTGCATGTGCGCATGTCAAGTAGTTTTCTTCTAGCCAGACTGTTCCTAACTGTTTATAGAGTCTCTTCAGTTGCTTACGTATTTGGTTTTTTTTCAGTTAATAATGGGACTTGGCACTCAGGGAGCAGAGAAGAAGAGTGCAGCATCTATTGCCTGCTTCCTGGCAGCCAACGGAGCTGACCTCAGCATTCGTAATAAGAAGGGTCAGTCTCCTCTCGACCTCTGCCCTGATCCTAGTCTCTGCAAAGCATTGGCTAAATGTCACAAAGAGAAAGTCAGGTTTGTATATTCATAAAATATGCAGTTTCCAAGTCTCTGCTTTCTGTAGGTTAACTGATGTATTTAAAACATTGTGCCTTTATTAGCAATAGTGTTAAAACGTACAAGATTTTTCTTGATTTTTCAATAAATTCTTTATATTCTATGGTACACTGAATGCTACTTACAAATACGTCAGTTGAAACTTAAAAAAGTCTTACAGGATTTTCATACATGTTAATATGGGAGGGAGAAGAATGTGAAGGTGGCAACATGCAGGTGGAGGTTGGTAGAACTTCAAACCACCCCAGAAAAGTGTGGGGGGAAATCACTGGAAGAATAACTAAGCACTAGGATGCGTTACCCAGGGAGGTTGTGAAATCTCTCTCTGTGCAAGTTTTGAAGACTGGAATGGGCAAAGCCTGGTATAACCTGATGCAAATTCAGTGTTGACCCTGCTTTGAGTGGGTGACCTCCTGACTACCGGTCAACATGAACGATTGTATGATTCTGTGAAAGGATAAGGGGGTAGGTCTGAGGTCGCAGAAGCACTTCTCTAGGAATTCTGATTTCAGTGAAACGTCATGTTATAAAATACATGCAGTATGAGAAGTTTCAGCTTGCTACTTGTCCTAGTTGTGTTCCCACCGCTGGCTTACGTGATTTTCATCCTTAACTGCTGTATGGAAATCAAAAACATACTTTCAAAATGTCACAAAGAGAGACTGGTTTTGCCCTGATGTGTAGCGTGCTTATTTTTTTCAGTCTTTCTGTCTGTGTCTGTCTGTATGTCTTGGCGTCATCCCCTGTGTCTGTTGTTCTTTCTCGCCACCTTTTATGGGCTTGTGAGGGCTGTAGGAATGAGATGGTTAGGTTCAACCCGCGCTCCCTCTGCTGGGTGAACAGCAGCATAGGACAAAGGTCCGAGGTGAATTCAGTGTGGCAGTTTGGGGTTTTTTTTACAATCCTGTCATTTGCTAAGTATTGGAAGTACATTCAAGATTAAGCTGGGCAGTTCTGAATCTACAGGGTATGTCTCTTAATAAAGTAAACTCTTAGGATGGGAGGGAAGGGCTTTTTATGCAAAGCATTTTCTGCAAAGCATTGGCTAAATGTCACAAAGAAAAAGTCAGGTTTGTATATTCATAAAATACACAGTTTCCAAATCTCTGCTTTCTGTAGGCTAAGCGATGTATTTAAAACATTGTGCCTTTATTAGAAATAGTGTTAAAATGTACAAGAGAGCATCACGAGATGCTATTCTAACTTGTGTGGCCTGTGTCTGTACAATGTCTTATCTGAGCATGTAACCTCGTACTCCAGTGTTAACTGTACATTTGGGAAAATGCAGTTCAGATTGCTTTCTGATGACAAACTGATGCCTGAATGCATAGGAGTATATAGATAAACAGCCAACTGATGTGCATTTTAAAGTAAGAATTCTAAAAATTCTTAAAAGTAAGTTTGACTGCAAGGTTTCTTTATAGTGGTCAGGTTGGTTCCCGAAGTCCGTCTATGATCAACAATGATTCTGAAACGTTAGAGGAATGTATGGTGTGTTCAGACATGAAGAGAGATACCCTGTTTGGCCCATGTGGACACATTGCCACGTGTTCTCTGTGCTCACCACGGGTGAAAAAATGCCTCATCTGTAAAGAACAAGTTCAGTCTAGGACAAAGGTAAAAACTTCCAAAGTTTATTGGTTCATTTTCTATTTTTAATGGAATTGTAAAAAAAAAAAAAAAAAAAAAAAGTCAGGGAAAAGTATAGTATATTTTAAGTGGTATTTTGCCTTACAGGTGTCTCACTGGATGGAATTAATTTTGCATTGTAATGATACCTTGTCCCAACATTCTGTGTTACTTTTTTCTGTTTGCCTGTGCTCATGTTCTACCTGCCCCTCATTCTTTCCCCACCTTGTTCCTTATTATTCAGATCCTCCAAGTTCCAATACAGTCACCTGAGGATACTTTATTTAAATAAATGTTTATTTCCACCCCACCCCCAGTACTTTTTTTTCCATGTTAAGATAAATTGCTGCTTTTCCTGAAGTATAATTCCTTTCAGTAATACTCAGTTCTTCTGAGTTCTTTGATTCCTTAGGGCTGCTTGGAAAGATGATTTGCCTGTTACCTGAGCTACTTAATATGTACGTGTTTTTGAAGTTAGTAATTACTTGCAGCTTTCACCTTCTCTTTCTTTGGAATCTCAAATTTCACTATGCTGTCTTTCTCCTTCAGAGTATCAACCAGTTGTGCCCTGTTTTGGGGGCCTAATCCCAGTAAGGACCTCAGGTTTCTCAAATGGTTGCTCCCAAGTATTTGTGACTATATGGGTGCATCCCCATTGCTTTTCTGTTTGAGTATTATTTTATTCCCCGTAATCACCAAGTCTTGCCCTTCTGTTGCTTTTTGGCTGTTTAAAAAAAAAAAAAAAAAAAAAAAAACTGTTTAGGGATGAAGCTCAGCTAAAGTCTTCTCCAACCACAAAAAACCTAAAGCCTCATGTTCCACACACAGGTGTATGTTTCTGATCTGTAGAAACCCTACTCTATTATCTTTATCTTTTTACAAGCAGATTTGACTAGTCCACTTGTATTGTATGTTTTTGTTTCTCTACCTCAGAGTAAATATATGAATTGTAAATATGAATTTGTACTGTTTTAACTATTCTCTTTCTTATTCTTACTTCTTACATTGTTCACTATTCTGCAATGTGTATTTTTCAAAGGTCAAATGTTAACATAGCGTAAGCTCCTTTCTCTAGACCTTATAGTCAGTAAAAAGGTTCTGCCACTGGGTGATTCAGAGCAGCGAAGTAAGTCTTCTACTTCCACTCATCCATCTAAAGAAGCTAATCTATGGAAATCAGCTTTTCTGGTTGAAAGCTAACATTTGTGGATAACCTTACTTTGATTTCTTTTGCTAAACTAGATTGAGAGTGTGGAATAGTTGTTCAATACTATTCTTACACACTTCTATATAAAAACTTATGGTAATATCTGCAAGGTTATGAAATGAATGAAGTTGGACAACAGTTCTATGAACTGGAAGAGGTGGTCCAGGCCAGTATGAATGGAGTGGTATGTGGTGTCTATGATACAGTTTACCACATTAAAGAGCTTGAGAAACCTGAACTCGGAATATTAAAACAGATTACTATAAAAGTCTCTTATAAGTGAATTTCATAGAATCATAGAATAGTTTGGGTTGGAAGGGACCTTTTAAAGGTCATCTAGTCCACCACCCCTACAGTGAGCAGGGACATCTTCAGATCAACCTTCAGATCAGGTTGCTCAGAGCCCTGTCCAGCATGACCTTGAATGTTTCCAGGGATGGGACGTCTACCACCTCTCTGGGCAACCTCTTCCAGTGCCTCACCACCCTCATCATAAAAAATTTCTTCCTTATATCTAGTCTGAATCTACCCTCCTTTAGTCTAAAACCGTTACCCTTTGTCCTATTGCAACAGGCCCTACTAAAGAGTCTGTCTCCATCTTTCCTATCAGCTGCCTTTAAGTACTGAAAGGCCACAGTCAGGTCTCCCCAGAGCCTTCTCTTCTCCAGGCTGAACAACCCCAATTTAAATATATATGGTGGAACAAAGAAGAATAAAAGAATAAAGAAAAAAAATATATACTGTCATAGCTGCTTCTCTGTGCCTATCAGTGTAGTGAACATATAAATATTGCCAGCAAATTATCTGTTCGTAGAAGTCAGTGTGATAACTCATTAAGTTGCATTTTGAGATGCTGAATTAGTTAAAATAACACTACATGGAGCTTCCTAAAGTCCACATGCCTTGCCAAAGTGTCTAAAAGCAAATTAATGTAGAGAGTAGGAGATAAACTTTTCTCATATGTGTGTTTATTGTTCTTTACAGATTGAAGAATGTGTAGTATGTTCAGACAAAAAGGCAGCGGTGCTTTTCCAGCCTTGTGGTCACATGTGTGCCTGTGAGAGTAAGTAAACTTGATGGAAGTTCTTTTTGAAGCAATCTTGAAATGGAAAGTTTTAATCAGATGGCTAAAAGCTCATTACTAACTTGACTTCAGGTCCAATTTACTTGATAGTCTGGTGTGATAGTCAGAATTCTGGCATTATTTGGCATGCTGGTAATGAAATAATTGGAGAACAAACTGCAAGTGCTCTTCCATCTGAATTATTTAATTGTGAGAAGGCTTGCTCAGATTATAGAAGCCTGCTGTGTATCATTAAAACTTCTGAAGTAATTAGAATTATTTTTATTGCTTTATTGCAATTTTTGGGGGGCATTAATATATGCAAATGACGTTTTAAAAGTTTAATATGCTTCACTACTAATCTACAGATTTACACAAGGGCTGCATTTTTCCCTAGAAGGCATATCATATATCCTTGCAAAGAGCACCAGTTATGATTCACTCTGATATACTTCACGTAGCAAAAAAAGACAGGAGATCTCCAGATATGTTTTTTTTGTGGATAAGAATGCACTTTGTCACCAGACATTTCAGGGCTTTGTTGAAGTGTAATTTGCCTAGAGAAGAGCAGTCCTTGTTGCTGAGGTTCTACATAAGAGGGAAGGTAATAATTCCCATAAGTAACTGCTTACTTGGTCTTGCTAAAGAAGTCTGGTTTCTTGCTCTGTTCTGGCTTGAGACACCTGACACTGAATCACTGACTTTACAGTTATCCTGATCTGGCTTCTTTCACTGTCTGCAGTTGAAAGATGATGAGAGAAATTTTTTTTGATTTGTTTCCCAGGAAGAGGACAGCAAAAAAATTGATTGCTGTGGTGAAGGATTTCAGCAGTGCTATACACATCACCAGGTCTAAGCTGTAACAAGGATAGCAAAAGGTTTAACAGATGTAGATGATTTCTTTCAGATTATTTTCTGGACATCTTGTTCAAGCAGAATGAGAGGGTCTTCAACTTTGTGTAGTTTATAGAGCCACTCTACTGATTCATGGTAACCTTCAGCATTTATGAGACTTAATCATTTGCCTTTTGTAGAAGAATTACAGCCTCCTTTCTGGGATTATATGGAAAGATACAGGTTTACTCTTTTAAGGGTAAGGAGCCACATCTGTTTGCCCCTGGAGTATGAGGATGGTAAATTAGATCCTTTGTTCTAAGGAAAAAAACAGGTAGCCAAGACATTCTTTGAAGTTCTGGTCTCAAATGTGTGTGATTTTACTTTTTTAACTTCTGTAATTCTTGTGGAATAGAAATCCATTTGGAGAAAGAGGAACCTGCTTGCTTGAAATATGTTAAAAGAAGATAAACAGAGTAGGTTTACTTTGAATCTCAAACAAGACCTTGTTTATAGGTGTGATTTGGAGAAAATGATATGAAGATGAACACACGTAGTTATTTGTATTATAAGCGTCTATTATGGCATTGCTGTCTAGTTACTGTGAATAAACAAGCTCATGGATATGAAAGAGCAGGATTCAGAGTTGATTTATTTCTCTGTCCTCTCAGACTGTGCAAGCTTGATGAAGAAATGTGTACAGTGTCGGGCAGTGGTTGAGCGAAGAGTGCCTTTCATAATGTGCTGCGGAGGGAAAGGTACAGAAGATACCACTGATGATATTTGTGAGTGACTCCAAAACCCATACTCTTACACATCCCCCCACCAACTACTTCTTCTCATTCTTTTAAATGACTTAAATCTTTTCCTCTCCCTTCTAAAGAAAAGTTTAATAAAAACAGTGTTAAGTCAGGTATCCATTTGCTGTTTGCACTACTTTCAACATTGGTAACAGCAGATGCAATGGTAATACCAGTCATTACACTAAAGGACTGCTTCCAGCATCCAGAGTAGAAGCTGAAACATACGTGACCTCTTGGCCACTTACTAATGTCCTATGAAGCAAAAGCTGTCTGTAATTGTGCAAATGAGCAAATAAATGTGTGGGGGGTTTTTGTTTTTTTTTTTACTTCTGGAACTCTGACTGATAAAGGAATTGTGAATATTTTGCATTTAGTTACAAGCAAGTTTCATGACAGATTGTTTAGTTTTACATCTCCTGCTTTGACTAGTTTTTAAACTTCTTGTGACTTCTCTGAACAATTTCTATGAATTATTTGTATTTACGCTGTGTGTATGTGTGGTATGCAGTGTTTGAATTGAGTACATGTGAATTGGAATATTAGGTCATTCTTGTAATACCGTTCCTAAATAGATAAACATAAGAATAATCCTTAAAATCAAGTTTTTAATACTCACACTGGAAATTTAAAATTTGTCATTTGAAGTACTGCTCAATTTTTCTGTTTCTTATAGTAACATTGCTTCCCAGATCAATCATACACAGGAATATTAATCTGACCTTGTTCAAATCTTGAGCAAACTACTTCCAAGACGCTTGTGCAGTTTTCAACACCAAATAGAATTGGCTGTGTAGATAAAAAGTCTTTTCACTGTGAAAGGATTTGGCTTTATTTTTTACATGTGCAAGAAAATTTACTGCAGGAACTTCACAGGCAAAGAAGAACTTGGAGAACATTAAGGGGCTACAGGCATTTTGAGCATCATTATTGAGGAAATATTTGTCAAAGAAGCATTGCCACTTAGCTCAAAGAAGTTCTTTATGAATTGAGCTGCAGTGATGTTATAGTGAATTGAATTTGATTACAAAATTTGTTTGACTAACATTATTTCGGATAATTGGAAAATTGTAGTTAGTACACTGGAAATAATTATTCCTGTTTCATGTGATTGATGCCTAATCATAGATCTTTATCTTCTCTGAATTACAGCAAGTGGAAACATTCCAGTTTTGCAGAAAGACAAAGACAACACCAATGTCAATGCAGATGTACAGAAGCTGCAGCAACAGTTACAAGACATCAAGGAACAGGTAAAAGTGCTGAATAAAAATTTTATGGACCACTAAAATAATTTAAAAAGCCGATGCATCTTGTGTTATTTAAAACAAAATGATATGTTGAAGTGCTTCAATTCTTAAATTTTAGTTAAATAACCAAAAATTTTTGTGTGTGATGTGGCTTGTATGTCTTCTATGTACAGGTTTAAAAAAAAAAAAAATAAAAAAAATCAAGTGGCCATGTTTGATAATCCATCTACTAGAGCATCTGTGTTGATGTAACTGAAAAAGGATGCTCTGCCCAGTCAGTATGTTCTGCCTGTTTAGCTGACCTGAGCGTATAGGTACAGCAGAAACTGTTTGCACAGAACAGTAATAAAAGTAGATATTCTTCACTATTCTGTATCTACCTGAATCTTTACTTGTTCTGCTTTTGAACAATGGCTGGCAATTACCTGTTGTATGAGGGCTATAGTTTATGTACTCTTCAAGAAATTGTGTAGTTGTAAAATTAAAACCCTTGAAAGTACTGTACATGTTAATTGAATATTTGGAATGTAAAAGGTAAGGTTTATCTTTTGTAATTATAGGTGGTGTTTGCAGGAGGAAATTTATACAAATTGACTACAGATTGTATTGATTATTCATTGGTTAAGTTACATGTGATTTAGAAACCTAATGAAAACCAAAATTGAGATGACTGACAGTTACCAATTTAAACTTGTTATAAGTCTGTTTCCATTAGAAGCATTTAAGTTGTCTACATGCAGACTTTCCCTGTGTTAAATTACTAAATTGTTTCCTTGCTTTTCCATCTGAACAAAGGAAAACTTGATTTTGAAATTTTTTGGCTGTAGAGGACCAGGGGGTATCTTATTATTGTATAAACTTATTCTCTTAGAACCCTGATAACGTGATTTTTGGCTTCCCTGTGTAAAACACAATTGGAAGAAACTTTTCACGGATACAGGAAACAGAGAAGTGTTCTTACTGTATTACTTGCCTTTTCCTCTTGTAGGCTTACAGCAGTCAGTAATACTTCAGTGATGGCAGCTTCACATCCAGTCCTGGTAGTTGTTGCTCTCAGCTGTTCACATGCGTGAAAGCTAAGAGGAAAGTGTTTAGATCACCCAGTTTTAGGGCCCATATCTCTAAATGCCTTAAATCTGGGAGATGATAGGCTGTCAAGTTTAAACCTCAGTGGCATGTCTGTGAAGAGCTGTTTGCTGTTGTATGGAGACTTGGCCAACACCCCAGTAATAGAAATTCAAACATCCAATTCAAAACAGATTCCTTTGTAGTTTTTGTAAAAGAACATGCAGATTAAAAATTGTCATTTGAAAAATGCATGTCTGTCTGGACGAGAACATCTAGAGCTTCGAGATATCTCTGACATCTTACATCTACTGTTTAGCTTCTGTTTTACTTCTTAACTTTGGATGAAAAGAATAAGGTTACTGCTTCGGCATTTAAAATTATATATGCAAAACGTGCAGATGAAAGTAATCTACTTTCTTCGGATACAGTTTTTCCTGGTTACTTCATTTTAGGAGTTTATAAAAGATTGGCGTTCTGTTTGGGTATGCTAATACTCTTATGTATAGGGATGTGAAAGGAAAACTATGTTACAGTTTTTCTTCTTGATTAGATGTGAGTTCAGTTTTCCTTAAGTGCTCTTTTATTCTTAACAATTTTGTCGTACCTTTGGGATTTGCTAGCTAGAAGGTTTCCAATATTAGAAAGTTATGCTGTATAAGGAAGAAGAGAATAATTACTTTATATGTGTCATTTTCTATTTGTATTTTCTGGTTTTCGTATTTGCAGTAGCAAGAAAGATCTAATACTGGAATGCTTTGAGAGTTTAAGTGCACTCTTTTGCTTTGAAGTGCCCTTTTGTCCAATAATTTATTTTAAATCTGTATAAAACTGAAGATTGTTCAATGCCTCTGACTAGAAAGAGGTCATTCTGGTCGTTCTTGTGTGCATCTTGGCTTGAGACTCTTTCGTGTTTTTCTTAGTGCCTTTTCTGATTAGTCTTGTGACAGGGCAAGTTGTGCATCATACTTGTGAGCAGAAGTTGGATTTGATTAAAATTAGTAATTTCATCTTTTAAATTTGTGCTTGAAATGATGCACAGCATTCCACTATAACTGTGTGTTCTTTTGATTTTGTGCTTTAATAGTTCAGTCTTCATGTTACATTGATATTTTTGTATCTTAAAATTAATTTGTTCTCTTTCAGCAGGTATAATCCTATGTTTCAACTCATACCTTCAATGATAATCTAATATGTTAGTGCAGCAAGCTTTTAAAACCATTTCTGGTGCCAAGCAGAAGTGATGCTGATGTCAACAGAATCTCCCACATCTGATGACCACACCATTCTTCAGGGATTCCCTGAATGTGAACCCTTGTGACTGTAATTGCAATACCTTCACTCCATTTCATACATAGTCACCACCATCTGTCTAATATCTTATGTATGTTCCTTCACCATACTTACATCACTTTCTTTCTCCTTAAAAATAAATTTATTTTGTCACTGTGCACCTGTATATTATTGGCAAAACTGGTTTTAGTATGGAGGAATTGATATTTCAAGTAGGTTAAAACACCTTGTTAGTGGTAAAAATTTATTTGAATTGCAAACTCAGTTATACTTAAAGGAGCACTTTTTCAGCCTACTTTTACTTATCCAAAGAAGTAATTCTTACATAGAACAGGTATAGTGCCTTTTTATACCATTTATTTTCCTTCAAAAGAGGGGAGTCAAATGTTTCATGCAGAAAAAAACAGTAGTGTGTGTTTCCACACAGAGAATGTTCTAACAAACTAATAGTACAATAGAAACAGATGCTGCTTATTTCCTGCTCCAGTGGCACAAATTGGGTATAAGGCATGCAGTGAACTTTTTTCCACTGTAGAAGTGCCTATAAGTTGCTGGTAAAGTAAGGAGAATGCTTCTTGAACGTTGGATAAAACTCAGTTATTTGGGCTTGTATCCCACTGGGAAACTGCTGAACTAATCAAGAAAATCCTTGTCAGAATAGAATCGCATAGCAAACAGGAAGTTTGGTTTTCCTGCCAGCTGAATTCTTCTACTGTATGAAGTAACTTAAATGTTAAAATAGTATCATGTTAAGAAATTAAACAGCTAATGTATTTTAAATACTCTGCATTTGTACTAAGCAGGAGAAATCGGGCAATTTGCTAATATTGCATGCTTTGCATGCAATTGCAGAAAAGATGTATAAAACGAAAATGTTAGGACTTCTGTCCTTCACTGAATGAAATAATCAAAAGTCATGGTGTTTGAACGGATTTTATTTTTTTTATTATTTCTGAGTCCCTTGATGAATGTTTTCCTTTTCAAATTATGATGTGGCATTTGGAGAGAAACAGGCCCCTTGTAACTTCCATAATTCTGACATTGTATTTAGCCACAACAGCAAATAGTTAAGCTAAAAACATAGAATAAAAGCTACAAGGTTTTTTTCTCCAAAGATAAGATTTGGATTTGCTTTGTCAGTCCTTTGTCAAAGGACATCGTGTCAATACTGTCCAGGTATAGACACTTGTCACAGGACAGCTATATGCTCATTGGAAATAGCGGTTTCATTGATATTCAAAGACTGTAGGTTACTGGAGGAAGAATGCTCTAGTTGTGCCATTGGGATGTGAAGGTGACTTGGTGTGAATGGAAGAATGAGCAGGACTGAGTGACAGACACTTGGTCTTTCGCAAATTTTTAGTTTGAGAGTGTTTTGCTCTCAAACTTTTACTGTGGAAATTCTGACAAAGCTGTAGCACAGCATTTTTGGGAAGTGAAGGGTTGTTTGGTTGGTTGGGGTTTTTTTAAAACAAGAGTTCACATAAGGTTTTATCTGGGAGTTTTACATTCCCACTAGCCCATTATACTGGTGTCCTGGAGATTAAAATAGGCATTTAGCCATATTCCATGATGATTTAAACTCTGTATAATGCTGAATTTATTTTGGTCTTCAACTAAGCTAGCCACCCTAGGAAGTAACACCTATTGATTCCATAGAAAGTATGCTTTTAAGTTATACTAATTGGGGTTCCTGCTATGGATTCTCTCTCATGAGATGAACAAACTGAAGTAAACCCCCGGTGATGAGTATGGACACAAGTCACAGGTGCAAAGTGGTGATAAAATGAATTTGCATTTGAAATATGAGGCCTGTCAGTATTTCATATTATGAGATCAACGTTTGTGTTACATATGAGTAGTGTGTCTCAGATCTGAGAACATCTTAGATTTGATTTGTTGGACTACAGAATGGTCTTAACAATTATCATCTGTTATAACATCTATTCATTTACTAACCTTTGATAAACTGTTATAAATGAAATCCTAATATGGCTGCAATATGTTTATGGTGAAGGAACATGCCTTACCAAAACTTCAATTTCTGCATGTGACAAAAGGTGAAGGACATTGTTCCTTACTGGTTTGGTATAAAATGAACTTTGCTGTTGAACTTCAGGAGATCTTTTTTGGGGCATTGGCTGTCACTTTAATGTTCAGCAGTTAAAACTGATTTTAAAAGTTTGCTGTGCTACTTTATGACTGAAGGTCACAGACTTACTAATTGTTCTTCATTTGAAACTTGAGGTGTTCTTTTGGTTGAAAATCTAGATAACTTCTATGAACAAAGGCTGGAATTACCAGTATTGAATCTTTATATAAAAATATTGATTATGTAGCTTTTTTATTACTTCTGCATACGTTCAATCCTTGGTGTTTAAAGGTAAGTATATGAATGGCTAGGTAGCCTGAGAAAAAAATTGGGAAATTATTACCCAAGCATTGCACACATCAAGCTGTTTGTGGTGTTTGTTCTCTGGAAGATTACATGACATATAGGGGAATGTTGCTGAAAAATGTCTTAATGTTGCAACCTTGGGTAATGATACCGAAAATGCGATGTCAACCTGCTATTGGGTTGTCTTACTTAAGGGGATCAGATTTGGAAAGAAGCTATATAGTTTTTGTGTCATGATGGGGTAGGAAAAGCCCAAATATTTTAAGTCAAGGTGAAGTAAAAGTGTGATTTTTTTTCTTTTTTTTTTTTTTTTTTTTTTTATAGTTCTCAAGTTAGTGCCTATGTTATGCTATGGCAATGATCTGCTCTGCTTAAGATGGCATATTTATTGTTAAATTTCAATAATGTATACACTGCATATTCAATACAGTATCACTACTGCAATTGACTGTGTTAACCTGTCAAAATCTTTTACAGACTATGTGTCCTGTCTGTTTGGACCGTCTGAAGAACATGATCTTTCTCTGTGGCCATGGAACATGTCAACTTTGTGGAGACCGAATGAGTGAATGCCCTATATGCCGCAAGGCAATTGAACGAAGGATCCTTTTGTATTAAGTAGCAGAACCAGTGTCTTTTTATTAGCTTATGAAATAGCAAGGAGATTTTGATGACTTAAATCTCCATAAGTTTGAAAGGCAGTAAAGGGTTCTAATGAAAACATTTCTAATTCTGTAGCACAGGTTCATTACATGGTAATTGTTTAAAGACTGTGAACACACCAAATGAGAGAACAGTATTTGAACAGTCAGCTTTTAGCTTTACTCTTAAAAACCATCTAAGCCTGAAGCTAATTTAAAGCAGTCTTTTTTTCATTTTCTTTGTTGTCTTCTTCCCCTTAAAATTTAAAGGGACAATCTTACGTTGGTTTTGTTCATGTTTTTTAATGTATGTATCAGGTGTCAAGTGATGTAAGGGGTTTTTTTTTTATATTGTCAGTTAATATAAAATATAAATAATTAGAATTTTTTTATGCTTTTCTGAAGAATGTCATTTCCCGTGACAGTTACAATTCACAATAATTTCTGTCTTGAAATATACAATAATGCAAAATCAATACAAAATGTGTACACGTAGTAATAAATATACTATTCCCATAAGATCAGGCCTCAAAATACAATGTTAAGGTGATTCTAACTTCATCATTTCTGACTTCATCAGCTTTGTTTCTGAGGATGGGTTGGGAAGGAAACAGTAAAAAGAAAAATCTTGCTTAGATGTGTGATATTCCTAAAACTGCACTTTAGTCTAACAGGTTCAAGCTAACTTAAATAGTGAACTTCTTAATTCTGCTGGCCACATAATTTTGTATGAAATTGCTTTTAACTTGACTGGAAGGGAAAGCATTCAAGCAATGGGTCAGTTATCCACTTCAGATGAGTGAATTTGATCAGTTGTAGAGGAATCTTGCAATTATATATATATGCATATATATATATATGGGGCCATTTAAAATTTCTGGGTCTATGAATTAGGAAAAACTAGAGATTTTGCAAGATTTCCTCTCTTAAATTAGTTTTATTGTCTCCAGACAAACAGTGTCAACAGCAAAAGAGCAGATGTAATATTGCTTATTCATCTAAGTTGGGTGTTAACACCAGAACTTATCTGTGAACATTACTGGGTAATACTGCAAATCAAGATATTGTTGACAGAGCAGTGAATTTTGTGAGCCATGCCTAAGTGAGTTGAAGTTGGCTGAAGGAGTTAGCTGTCACTGGTGTGACAGATGTGTTCCTGACCCTAAAAATGCTACTGTCAGGAACTGCAAACTAATATTTTGATAACAAGTACATCCTTCCATCATCTTGGATGGAAGAAAGTATGCTGATTTAAGGATCTCTTGTAGCTGAAAGGAGTGCATGCTTACTCTTAAGTGATTTGGCAGTTTTCTGAGTGCTTAGTTTATGTAGCCCTTTGCCATTGTGCAGACTTCATCTGGATGTGCTCTTGCAGAACCATAAAGAAATCCATGCTGGAGTCACTTAGGTGCCTTACTTGCAACTAAGATCAATTTCTCATTTGATTCTCATTGCATATGTCAAAAATCTGGAAAAAGGTATAGTTCAGGGCAAGATCCAAGTAAGGATAAAGGCATAAAACCGTGATCTCTTCAGATAAATCAATCTCCGTCTTTTGAAGCTTGTGTTGATAGGCTAGAATTGTGCAAACATTGGCAAAAGTCTTGGAAGAACGTTACTAGTAAACTGGATAGGTGAACTTTTAACCAGTAAGGTTTAAACACTGGATAGAGTTTTGCAGGAAACAACTACAATGATATATCAGAAAAATGTATGTAGAGCGGCTTGTAACATAGCAAGGTGATGTAATACACAGCCTTTCTACAGCCATCTTTAATCCTGATCCAGAATTGCAAATGTTCATCATTCTTTCCAGTAATTTTTCACTGGACACAATCTCAACCTAGAGTCAATATAGCAGCCTGTTTTATTTTGTATACTAATAGTCATCTGTTCTTGGATAATCTGTGTATCTGTCTTCTTGGCCAAATGAAATAGCCCTCCCTTTTCTTGCTTCTTGGGTCCCTATTCTAAAATACCAAAATTTCAAGGAACCTTGGAAAGTTTTTGACAGAAAGCGTTTTTTAATTCGGCATTTCACTATCTCCACTTAAGGTCTGAGTACACATGAGTGTTCACTGCAATTTTCATTTGGCCAATATGCATGTCACTAGGTCTGATTTTTTTTGTACCATGTTAGACAGCTGAACTTTCTATAGTAGGCTTCAGTTTCCTGTCAGTCTTCCTCTAAAAATAATTTTATAATAGGATGTGCCATTTGACAATTCATTCTGAGTTTTAGCCTGTAATGCATCAGATCTGTACCTTGGTTTCATCGGCTCTGGTAGACATATTTTGAATATTATCCTATTTATTCTTCACGGGGACCTCTATAAACTTGTCAGCACAAAGGCAGGGTGGATTTCTTCTTGATAATGCAGGTCAAAACTGAAACCTCAGTGTAGCAGTTGGCATTCTCCTAATTCTTTTTTGCTGGAACAAGCCAGAATTACTTGAAAGTATTCCAGCTTAGCATCAATTGAATAATTCAGCCAAGTAAGAACTGATCTAAAGCATCCTGGGTGGGGAAACTGGAGTTGAATGTTAAATATTCCTTGTCTGCAGGAGACACATATTGCAGCATAGATAAGTGCGTGCTCTGTTAGGCTTGTACTTTTCAACAGGGAACCTGTAAGTTACTTTATAACACTCTTAATACTTGGATCCCATCACAGTCCTATGGAAATAGAGACAATGACTGAAGGTATTGCTATAGGAGCTGCTCTAGTCTTCCATACTTCAGTCATATCAGATACATGTGACTGCGTATAAGTTTCTGATTGGACTTGTTCAGCAATGTTGTGTGCCAGCTGCAATTAAAGTATGTCAACTTGATGCTATTATGGTGCCATGAGAAACAGCTGAATAAAAAGTGAAAATGTGAGAAAAATCAGGAAGGCATTTATCTCTAATATACTGTAAAATCATAAAATGTTAAGAGTTGCAACCTTTGTTTATTATGATTATCCCCCAGTATTTAATAGCAGTTTAGATATTCAGTTGAATGAAATATCTCTGTTTGTTTCTTGAAAACGTCAAGAAGGCACCTAATAATATGTTGTACAGGTGTGAGGTATGCTCAGATGTTTAACTAAAATACTTTTTGGTGGTTTTTTTTTTCATTTAGTAAAACATATGAAGGGTCACATCAGTACACAGTGATTTAAAGTGTAAAGACAACTCAAGAGGCTAACTGAATATGCTAAATAACGGTAGCTCGTTAACTTCTGTGTAACTATGCTTGACTTTTTTTTCCTCAAACCTGCTATCACTTACTATACCCCAAGCTCATATGGCACTTCCTGAAAACTTGGCCTATTATTACCTACTCTCCATTTGTTGAAATACTGTGTACTTCTATGTTGGGATTTGGAGGAATCCCTTTTTGCTGAAGTGGATACTGAAAATTACACTTACAAGAGAATAAACAAGCTACTTTGTAAATGTGAAAGACTGATTAGGAGGTGGTGTTCTTAACTTGGACTGGGTGAGGATATAGCAGATTTGCACAAGTACTTGTGCCTTGTTAGCATAGTCTTACAATTGGTATTCTAGCTTCTTTTAAAGACGTGAAGTAGTCTTTTAAAAATAATCTAAGTACTTATTGTGTAGATATTTTCTAGAGATGAAGTTTTATGTATGCCTAATTATTTTTAGCAGTATTAATTGCAGTTTGCATAAACACTAAATTGTTTGAAGAAGCGGCCTTGAGCTAGTGGTCTAAGCTTCCTCCACAAAATTAAATGTTAGAAACCTAATTTTACTCTTCCAGTAGCAGCTGGTGAACTGAAGAGCCTATCCCATTCTTTGTGCTGCGTGGGTCAAGTTTTCACTTTAAAAAACCCAACAACACTACAGCCTAACTTTTAGCAGTGCTACCTCCTTTCTGCCAAAGTACTGAATTCTTCTCTAGTTGTTCTTTGTCTTTGGGAAGGGATGGGGAACACATCAGTTCTGTCTTGCTTCATCAGTTTTGATGTCTGAATACGTTGTGAAGGTTTTTTACTGACTGTGTAAATTACGTACAATAGAAGTGTGTGATTTGCCACAGTGTACATTGCGTATCATTCTTGCATAAGTTGCTGCAATTCGTACTGTTGTCTTTTTATGCATTTGATAACTTGTGTTGACAAAGCAAAACTGTTATCTGCAGAGGTTTTAGTATGTGCCATTTTTATAGCTAAGCCTGTGGTAAATACAAAGTTCTGACTCAGGGCTTTTTAACAACTTAAACATGTTCACAGTGTTCTTCAGCACATCTTGGAGAATATTAAAGATTTAATGACTGTACAGTACCTTGATAGAACTATTGAAGGGGCAGCAGCCATAGAGTCCTTACAGAATGCAAGTATCTTTCGAATCCAGTTAATGAGTTTATGTTAATGTGATTGTAATACCCCTGCCATGGATTTATAGACTTGTATATACTTTCTGTAAAGGAAAATTGGCAAATTTAGGTATTGTTAAGCTTTCTGAAAGATAGTTTGATTATTGCATCAGTCATTGGGGTCTGAAGGGCATAGTATTCAAACTTACAGAAGCAGCATTTGTGGCAAAGGCAGCTGATAAAATGTTCTGTATATGACAATTCTAGCGTGAGGGGAGAGGCCATTGTATAAACAAACACCTAAAAATACCTGTTTTACTCTGGCCCAGTAAGTCTTTTATGAGAGAAAAATAACCAGCAACAAATCTGTATGTTTGCATGCCATTTCATAGTTACAAAAAATTAACTCTCATTTTGAGCTTCTAGGAAATACTTTTTGTCCCAAGCTCAGTGTCTTTATGAATGCAAAATATTCTTACTAGAAAACAGATTTTACTGAACCACAAGAACATTTTTGCTTTTGTTAAAACCAACTTTGTATCTTCAGTAAAATTGTAGATTTTGACATGACTGTTTGTTGGGGAGATTTAAGGTTGTCTGTGTGAATGTAGTGGATTTCTGTATGCAGGTAGCATTATATAATTGCTTTCATTAAAACTGCTTAGCAAGGTCTAAGCTTTTCAAAGGAAATGCTAATGTACTATATGGTTAATAAAACTTATTATATAAGCTGTATACTGACTTTTTCAAAAGCTTTGATTTAAAAGTGTAATTGGACTGAATTAATACTGATTTCTGTGCACACTTTATTGGGAAGGGAGTGGTGGCTCGTTTGGCTTCCTCCTGATTGTAATGATGTTAGATGGCACCATGGAATTAGAAGACTGTACACCTGAACAAATGTTTGGTAAATCTGTTAGCCGCTGACACACAATGTTTAAAAGCGCACCAGACTTTATTGAGAAAGTTTGCAATCCAGACTTCAAAAAATTCTGGTTCTTTATAATGTGAGTTTGTAGCAACATCAGAAATCCTACGTGCCTTTTTGAATCTCCCAGATACTCAAATACGGTTTAAGCAGCACAGTAGAACTATGAAGGGCGGATTATGTTGTAACAATGAAAAGGTTGATTTAAAATTTTTATCTACGGCACATGTGCAAATTTTTCTGTAAATATGCAGTTCATAATGCTGATTAGAGCTGCTGTTAAGTTTATGTTAGACTCTGGGTTTACATATCATTCAATGGCCTTCACAGATCTGGCTACGACCGCAGATCCGTGATCATTTAAGAATCTCCTGCCAGATACAGTAACTCCCATATTCTGAGGCAAGTTGCAGCATCATGGTTTATACTCTTAGGATTCAATTTAATGGATGCATTCAACAAAAATACATATGTAATGAAAGGCAACAAAAGCAACCAGACTTTAATGGCTTAGTGTTTTAATTTATCATAGTGTTCCGGTTGAAAAATGAATTGACGGAATAAAAAGTTTGTTGCTGTCTCTCTCGGTTTCTTTTCATTTTTCAAGATTTCTTCAACTTTGGTTTATATGACAGGTCTATACAAAACCATAATATTTTCAGATATCTTTTGTTTTAGCCACTTGCTCTTTGCTTTGGGACTTAAAAGCTGTTCACATCTCCATACTGTTCACTGAAAGTGATGGGAACAGCGCTGGTATAGGTTTAAGGCTTGGTCTCTGGTCTCTAGGGTTTCAGCCCTTAATGTTGGTCACAGTGGAAGCTGCTGCCTTTGCTTGTGTTTGATACTGATGTTTTTAGATTTTGAGAGGGCTGCTTCATACTGTGCAATATAATTAATACAATCCTTTATAATATAAATACTGTATAATATAATTAATCTCTGTATAATGCACTTTGTTCTGACTAATTCCAGCTTATCCAATATGCAGCCATCTGTTTGCAGCAGGGATGATGAAACTCCATGGAGATTTCCTTTGGATTTGGCATTTAGTTAAATGCGGAGGGTGGTTCTTCATGGGTGTATTCTGTTTTATTTAGGGAAGAAAAATCAGCAGCTGTATTTGAATAAAAAGTGATAGCCTTCCTTTTCAGACCTGGTTTTCCACAATAAGGAAAGGTAACTTCAGTCATAAACAGTATCGTTGCAGATCTAGTGCATTGTGCAGCCCTGTTCAAGTCAACAAAGTAGCATGCATTGGAAAGCTGCTACTTTAAAGAATAAAGCCTAACAACTGTTCTTGATGCTTATGAAAAGGTTCTGGCTGAAAATTACTTTAGGGATTTAAATACTTTGTTCCCTTTGCAGCAATGACAGTAGTATGTCTAGGCTCTCCAGGAGATAGAAAGTATTTTTTTTAAAAAAGCAGTCTTCAAGAGTGTGATGCTAAAGTGGGTTGAAATAGTTAAAGTTGCATTAGAGACCAAGAACTCTGAGAGCTGATAATGTAAAGTTTTCTTCTGTAACAATGCAAGACTTTTAGTTATAGGAAATGTAGTGCAAAATCCATTTCTTGCAGTTAGGATTTGTTGGGGCTTACTTGACTGCCCTGAAGAAGTTGATACATAACCCAGATTCTGCAAAATCGCCTAAAATCCGGAAAATACACTTGTGAGACTATACCAACACCTTGCAACACTATAACACCATTTCACTGAATTTTGCTTAAAAATAAATCTGAGGGAGGTAAGTAGACAAACTTATACCTGAGCTGTTTTCCCCAGTGATGCTTGTCCATCCTAAAATGTATGAGTGTTTCTTCCACAAGGGGTCAGTAGCACCCTCCGTTTGTGACTTTTTTTTTTTTTTTTTTTTTTTTTTAAATATAAGCACAAAGCAAACAAGGGATAAGGATAATGATGATTGCATTAATATGTGGGTGGACCAGACCTCACTTGTCCCCTTCTTCAAGCAGGCTAAGTATAATTAGCTTATTTGCTGACTTCAGTAAGCACCATATTCTATCCTCTGACTCTCATGTGACATGAACATTGCTACTATCGATTAGGGCAAAGTTCCAGTGGAGTGTTTACCTTCAGCTCTAGCTGAAAGTATTCATTTAGTCTAGCTCTTTCTCAGAAGCATGCAGTTGGAGCAGATAAACTGTATGAGAGAGCTTGTCCAGCAAGCAGGGGAAAAGAATTCTTGTATGAGTGTCCCGCATACTCTTAATGATAACCACAGTCTCCCTAGATGGCTAGAGCTGATTAATATTTTCCACTCTATAGTAACACAGCTTATAGTTAATTATGCTTTGAACCCTATGGGTCTCCTCGGTGGAAGGAGTGTCCAGCTTTTCAAGGCTTCCCTGAGTATGCAAGTTACCTGGAGACGGAAGGTTGAAGTAACTCATTATCTTTCTGCCAAGAGGCTGAATGGACCAGGCAGTTACTCCCTAGACAAAAATTTCCAACCCTTGTACCAAAATCATATTTCACAAATAGGAGTCCATGGTCAGTGTCATTCAGGTGGGCACAGGTTCTTTCTTACGCTTGCTGCATTATCAAGGGACCTTCCTTACTTTCATGTCTGCAACTCTTGTCATTCTCTGCTTTGCATCTGTTACAGTTTTTGCATTTCATGTCTTCAGTGCTTCTGTCCTCAAGTCCTCCATTTCAATGTTTTTGGTGTCTGTGTTTTCAATAGCAGAAGCGTGTCTCCCTTCTTTCTCGATGTGTCCTTTCTCAGTGTAGTGCTTTCCTTGACTCATTAAAATTAATTTCCGCTACACTGAAGTTGACACAGTGCCTTTGCATAAGCAGAGTGGGGCCCTATCCATGTGTCCGACTCCACTCTTAATTGCATGTGCCAACAGTAGGAATTCCTGAAGTCTTAGCAAAATTTCACATTAATTTATGAACAACCCTTATTTCTCCAGTATAAGAAAGTTTGTGGCTAACACCCAGGTGGGAGTGATAGCGCAGAGGTGCTGCTTTTGGTCTAGTTACAGCTGTTCTTGACCATATAGCCAACTGAGTATGAGCCAGCGGTGTGCCAACAGCATCCTGGCTTGTATCAGGAATAGCATGGCCAGCAGGAGCAGGGAAGTGATCGTGCCCCTGTACTCTGCACTGGTGAGGCCGCACCTTGAATATTGTGTTCGGATTTGGGCCCCTCACTACAAGAAAGACGTCGCGTTGCTGGAACATGTCCAGAGAAGGGCAACGAAGCTGGTGAGGGGTCTGGAGCACAAGTCTTATGAGGAGCGGCTGAGGGAACTGGGGTTGTTTAGTCTGGAGAAGAGGAGGCTGAGGGGAGACCTTTTTGCCTTCCTACAACTGCCTGACAGGAGGCTGTAGCGAGGTGGGGGTCGATCTCCCAGGTAACGGGTGATAGGACGAGGGGAAATGGCCTCAGGTTGTGCCAAGGGAGGTTTAAGTTGGACATGAAAAATTTTTTCACAGAAAGGGTTGTCAGGCACTGGAATGGGCTGCCCAGGGAAGTGGTTGAGTCCCCATCCCTGGAGGTATTTAAAAAACAGGTAGATGAGGTGCTTAGGGACATGGTTTAGCAGTGGGATGTCAGGGTTAGGTTAATGGTTGGACTTTTGATGGTCTTAAAGGTCTTTTCCAACCTAAATGATTCTGTGATTCTATATGAGGAAGATCAGGAACAAGTAAGTGTTTGGGGTTTTGTGGGTCCCCTGTTTCCCCCCTCCCCCTTCATAGGCTGCCTGAAATTTCCATCATTACAATAGCTCAGATTCAGTTTTTGGTAAAAAGGTACTTGCCAGAGGAACTCGCTCTGGAATGGAAGTTACTGTCTCCTAGTCATGTGTATCTTGCCCGCCTAAGTTGCCCAGAGGAAGCCTGTTCAGTTCAGTAGGATTGCTTGCAAGAGCAGGGGTTGTTTGCAGAGAGAAAGTTTCTGTTGTTGGGCTTCTTGCTGCCTCCATAGAGAAGTATGAGAAAGTCTTGCTTCTTTGAATAAAGTAAATCTGAAACCATGTTCCAGGTAATACTCTTCCAACTAAGATTTCATAATCCCTCCTGTTTATATGATCGTCCTAAGGTGTCTTGTGATATTCTGTATGAAAGCTATATAAAATAAATAGCAATTATACAGCATTTATTTCCCAATGGGCATGCTATATAGTTTGTTGGCTTTGAAATACAATGCTATCATTCTTCCTCTCTTCCTTCTTTGCTATGAGACCTGTAAAATAAAGACTACTTCAGATCTATGTAGACAAGGCTGCTTTTCCTAACACAAAGGACTTAGTTAAGCTGTTTCTAGTATAGCCTTACAATTCAAAGCATCAAGCCCAAGGTTTTTTGGCTGCATTTTTTTCACCTGTAGCACAGGGCACTTAAAGGACCTAATTTATATTATTCTTGTGTTTTGGTCAGGTCATTCTGGTTCTCTTTAAGGCTGAGGGAGTCCTCATGTAACTTGTCCTCAGAAATTATTTTCCCACTACTTCCTATGGAGGGCACAAGAGTCTGGAAGCACTTCACACCTTCTTGTTGCGATAGAAAAGCGTGTTAGAATAAGAACATGGAGAAACCTAAAGCTAACCTGCAGTTATAGGCCTAATTCTTAGAAATTTTGTGAGGAGAGAAACTCAGATGGCAAATTTGACTGTGAGCAGAGTGGTCTCTTGATGTTGAGTTTTACATTCTTCTGTTCCCTCACCTGAGAGCTTGTATTGTGGATACATTGAGTCTTGTTGTAACCCTGCCATCTCCTTTGCATTGTCCCACTGCTGCGGATAGGTCCCTCCACAGCGACTCTCCTTGGAGTAATAGGTCCTAGACTTAAACTGGAACTGCTCCACATGTGGAGAAGGAAAGTGTGGAAGTTACGCATCCCTAATGCAGAAGTCACAGATCTGCGTTTCTACCTAATACAGCTCTGTTCCCGTGACACTCACAAAAGGGATATGAAGGAGTAAGTGATCTTGCCTTGGACTGCTGTGAACTCTGTGTGCCTGCAAACAGACAGTGGTGTAAAAAAGCTACTGCAGACCAACTGCTTGGTAGTGAGCTGCGTGAGGTGCTTTCCCTGCAGCAGGCAGTAGTTGGAGGCCACTTAGACTTTTTAAAGTGTTGCAGCCAAGTAGGGCTGAGTGGGCCAAGCCCTCTGGGCATCTACTTACCCCTGAAGCAATGTCAGCTCAGGACAAGTAGCATGGAAATGAATTAGATATGAAAAGTGTATCTTCATTAACAAGATTGGGATACCAGACATTTAATTTTAGGCTTTGTCTGCTGTGCTGAATTCAACAGTGACACCAAGATTTGGCAAGCTGTTGTTGAGTACTCCAGGAAAATTTAGTCACTGGCTGCTTTCATAGTTTTGAAAAATTCAAAACACAGCACTGTGCCAACTAGTAGGAAGAAAATTAACTCTGTCCTAGCCGAAACCAAGACACTTTTGCAGGAGTTTCTCAACTTCGAGGAGGTAGTCAAAAGAAGTCTTCAGAAGGGGGGGGGGGCGGGGAAAGTATTTAGACAGGGGGATTTACAGAATCACAGAATGGCAAGGGTTGGAAGGGACCTCAGGA